TTGTCTTATCATAGCTGAAGAGCTTTTTTTTCTCAAAAAAAAAAAAAAAAAAAAAAAAAAATTGACCTCAACAGAGCACTCAGTTTCCAATTTCTAGAAATGTGTATGCATATACAAGTGAATCACTACCTGCCCAAAATTAGGCCTCTCAAATTTTAGCAATAAATTAAAATTTTCCGAATTGAAAAGAAATGTTTACTTTGAAAATCAGGTCCATCTAGGAAATTTGAAATACTGGATGTATGCACATTGATAAATATTACATCAGGCTATTTCATAGAATCATAGAATCACCAAGGTTGGAAAAGACCTAAAAGATCATCCAGTCCAACCGTTCAATATTTGTTGCAACTGTGGAAGGTCCACATTTCCTGTACCTCTGAAGCTTATCAGTAGAACCCATGCTGCAGTTAAGAAAAATATAATTTTATTTTTGATTGCTTTTTGATTGAGAAATGATTAGTGACTGCATATCTAGAAGCTCCTCTGTCAGATAGTTTAAATAATTTTAGGTTATTTGGGAAATTAACAACTGAAGCACAGAAATGTGTAACCAATATGGTCATAAAAGTAGCTAAGGAAGAAGAATCTGCATTTCATCACTTCTGGTTTTTGGCTGAGCAATACTACAGAAGGTTATCAGGGCTTGTCTTAGCTATACCCTTAGTTTTCTGGATAAATATTGATTTTAAATACACGATTTTAGCAATACTACCTTCCATTGCATATATCATTGATGACTAACAGACACCAAAGAGCAAAGAAACTGAAGAAGTGACACATGCCTTGTTGCTCCACTGACAATATTTTTTGTAAGTTGATGGAAAGAAAAGGCCACCATGAACTGCCTTCTCACATTAGAGTTCTTATAATACATATCCAAAATGTGTTAATCAGGAACATTCTGCATGGAACTAAGAAAAAGACAATTTTTTTTCTTACATCTACTACCATGAAGGTAGTGTTCACAACTGGGTAATGAAAAATGAGTTGAACTTTTCTTTTGAATGAAACAGTCTACTCGTGAGTGCTCTAGTATAACCAATCATGATCACACTCCCCAGCATCTGGCAGAGACAAAAGTACAGAATAAACACTACATGAAATTTTGTGACATGTGTTATTATTGTTGTTCGATCTGATGAATTTATGCCAGAAACTTTAGAAGTTTCAAGTATTCTGGGAAATTTCAAATAGTTCGTTGACTCTGCTGCCTTTTCTCTCTTTTTCTTCTAAGACAACTATTCTTTGTGCTATTAATCTAATTCTGTATACCTTGAAAAACTGAAGAGCATGCAGTTCACATAGCAATCAACTCACTTGATTTCATATAATATTTAGGAAAATTTGAAAGCTGGAAGCTAGTCTCATGTATTACAATGGGACAGATGGAATTTTTATTTTCCAACAATATAAATCTCTGGAAGACACAAAGTTTATCTGGCTACAGAAAATGTAAATCAGCAATGAATCTAGTCAAATATTTGATTTTTTCTTTTCTCAATATTTATGCAATGTGAGAACTGTTACCTTTGAGGAGACTTAACATTGATCACTCTCCAACTGGAATGAGGACAAATTAGTTTACAAATGAGCACAATGTTTGGGTTAGAAAGAATGCTTCTTTGATAGATGAGTTTATATTAAAAGGATAAAGATGACCTGGACTTTCAAAGAAAATATTACTGTAGGGAGAGAGCAAACCATGCAGCCAAAGGATTGTGGTAAATATGGTTTTGCACTGTAATTGCCATCAATGAGTTGAGCCTATATTTCTACTAGCACGTAAACTTATGAGATCCATTTCTAATATCAGAATAATTTAAAAGGAAAATATTACAAGATTAATAGCAATATTTTCAATTTTCAAAACAGTAATTCTAGAAGTTCCACTACAACTCTGTTCACTGATGCTTTCTATGCTTGCTCTAGTCAGCTCATGGGCTGATCTCTCATCTTCACATTCTACCAAAAAGCCCATTAAAAAAAAAAAAAAAAAAAAAAAAAAGAGAGAGAGAGAGAGAGAGAGAGAGAGAAAAGATGTTAAAGGAAAAGAATAAAGAAATATTACTGTATGACTTCTTAGTACAGGAATGATAAACCTGTATTTCCTATGGTCACCAGCAATTTTTTTTTTAATATCAATTCTGTCTATCTGTATATGAAATGCTAACTGAACGCTTTCAGCTCATAATTTCAAACCAGTATTCCTGCAGACACGACACTTTAATGAAGGGGAAGAAGTTTCTAAATACACAGTGACTGCATGATCAAGCCTGAATCAGGACTTCAATATTATGTGGATAATTTTAACTTACCGTTATGTATAATCAAAAACTACATTTACTAACACATCAAAAGCCCCAAGCATTAATAAATTGCAAAAGTGAAAAGTGTTAGAAATTATTGTAAGAACAAGAGAAAGTTTGGGAAATAATCCTTTTTTTTTTTTTTTCCAAAATCATTCAATTTTATGGGTCAGGTGAGAGAACAAACAGTGCTTGTCTTGAGATTCTGTTCTCACCTAAGCAATCTCACTTCAGGGGCTATCCAGATTATATGCAATATGGAGAATGAAGTGCAGGTATCTCAGTAGGAACAAGAGTGAAGGGAAATAATTTGTGCAGTTGAGGAAAGTTTTAGATTAAGTGAGAGGAAATTATGAACCTTAAATTAATTTTATCCATGCTTTTTTCTAAGTCAAATGTTAGGATGACCACACAGGATGATTCTTTATTCAGGATATAAAAATTCATTACTGTGCACTGCCCTAGTGAAATTTGCAAGAAAGTGTATTAATTTTTTTGTGAAGCAAAACATTCCTATTAAGTTCTACCTGTTAGAGCTGTGCTTTCTCTGAAATTATTTTAATTTCAGATTGACAAAACTCTCACTTCAGCTAGTGGAGTGAAGCACAACCATTTCCATCCACTTAAAAACTCAGTGCAGGAATCTTGAAGGCCCAAGAGAAAGAATTTTGCATTTCTCTCTTATTTTTATTCTTCTTTCTTTTTTATTATTATGAGCACAAAACCTTTAAAATGTAAATAAAGCACTAATAAGGTTCACTATTATAGAGGATAATGAGAAGTGCCTGTTGAATATTCTGTATTCTTAAAATGTTTTGCTTTAGCAGGGTGAATTCAAAACACCACAGTAGCATCCAGAGTGTAAACTGATTGTACTTACTTATGTCACATTCAAAGAAAAGAAAAGAAAAGAAAAGAAAAGAAAAGAAAAGAAAAGAAA